CTGAGCACAAATGACGTGATTATTTGCATCTACAGCAGGGAAATTAGATCCCATCACAAATGGTTACAGGAGACACATTTTAATACTAGGTGTGAATCAGTCGATCAAATGTTATTTGTACATCCCACATTCACAAATAACAGTTTGTCTCATAGGACAAGGTGTGACATCCTCTGCAGCAACTTGAGTGAGGAAAAAACCTGCCCAAAAAATAAAACCCATCAAGAAAATGTAGAAAACTCAGAGAGAGCCACACGTGAGAGATCATTCTCCCAGAAGGACAGGAGTGCAATAGATGCAGCGAGGAACAGATATAAAAAATAATAGTTACAACATCGATGAGAAGAGACAGCATCTAACATAAAGGTGTGAACACTTTGTGCTGGCCACTTGTGATGTGATCTCTCCGGACAGATGTCCAGGTCTGAACAAGGCCTGAGAGGGAGGACAGTGGTAGTTGGGTGTGACTTTCTGTAGCAGACTGTGAAGTCTGTATTTGAGGGCTTTTACTTGGTCTATTGGTAGGACACACGGATAACCAGCGTTTGACTTGTGCTCAAGCACATGACACACCCGTGTGAGCACAGTGACCCACTCCTCTCACAGTTCTATTGATCCATGACTAATAAGATGTCTCAGTCCAGTAGAACACTGACCTACGACTGGCTGCTTTGTCATTAAGCATCCCGACTATAATGGATATTTACTGGAAACTTACCACACAGTTAATCATGCACATAATAACCCAACTGACAGTCTTCCTTCTGCTTTCCTATTGTCATTTTGTCAGTTGAGTCAACGATTGTTATGGTATAAAAAACAAATGCACAAAAAGGCGTCTTGTCATTGGTATACACAAAGACGTGGGTCTAATGCTTATCATGCAAACAAGCCTGCGTACAACTTCAGAATAGAGCAGGCACAGAAAATAACAAGGGGAGCAAACAGCAGCACAGTCAGACAGCTGCACGAGTCCATATTTCCCCCCTAACAGAGAGAAGCGGGTCCCCTGTTTCTGGTGACAATAACAGACACAAATAATGAGGAACAAAACCTGGGACGATCACATTGCGAACACGCCAAACGTTTTGAGCATCATGTACACGGAACAGCTAAACAAACAGGGGGACAGTGAGTTATTGCATTTTGCTTCTCTGTCTAGACAGCACTCTCTCCTGTGTCAGCTGAGGCTGACAAACACATGGAAACCATTCCTACTGTGGTAACAGCTGAGTCAAGATGTGTAGCCAGAAGACGCATTGGGCTTGACCACACACACAAGTAAAAATCCCTGTCATTCTGAGGTGTGGGGGCTTCCAGCTGTCATTCTTATTTGGGACAGAGGAGAGACTGGGTGTGTGCATCCGGGAGTGGCACTGCAATCCCTGAATTCTGACAAATGCCTCTGAGTTGACCTTAACATTCCTACGACCTTTAAAGGCAGAAAAGACAACAGAAATAACTATGACGCGTGTGTCTAACTTCTTTTGACATCGCCTTATTCTCCAATTGACCTTAATTTAGATAATTTGAATGTGGGGTTGTGTGATGATGTCAGAATACCCCAGAAGTATCGGCCGGAAACCTGACGAAGTGTTTCAGGAGCTTTAGGGGAAGCATGTTCTGTTGGGAAGAGCTGCTCTCTTTTAACTTTTCAGATATCCACAAAAAAAACAAAACAATAACACACTGGAGAAAAGAAAAACTGAAAAAGCATCTTATGGCTCCTTTGAACTTTCATCCTAGTTTCGAAATTCTAGATGTCAAAGCTACGCGCAGTTATCCAGACGAGTCCGTTCCATACACCTGATTATTAATTTATTTCACCATTAATTATATCCGAAGTTGTTTCAAATAATTCACAGTACGCAATTTAATTAGTTTATTCGAAATGGAAAACAAGATGATTTAAATCCAAACTATTTTCGAGCATTTGTGGCAATTGTCACAGCACCACACGAACAATCAAATCAGAGAGGCTGTAAGTGCTGCCATTCCTACTTTGTGCAAATGTTTTGGGGGAAAAAAACCTGGCACAGCAGTTATGCCTAAAATGGAAATGAGCTCTTAAGTACCTTAATGCTGTTTGATTGGGGGGCAATTATGCAGAGCTTGCTTTAAAATCTGTCTGCTGATAAGCACAAAGTTTGACAGTGTTGCATCAACTGCTTAAAACTTCTTTTAATCAATAGTGTACTGTAATGAACTGAACCGGGATAAGTTATTCTTTTACCTTCCCTTCAATCAAAGATCTCAATAAAAGAAAGAGACGAGAGAGCATCTGTTGAAAATATGGAGGTGGAGGACGGAGGAAGTAAGATGGTCACTGGTTTTCATGCACTTCTTTATGCAGTCTTGAATTGTGTTTATTCCATCAAGCATATTTTCCAGATCTAGTTTTACTGAAGACCTGCTGTTGTGCCTTGATTTAAAGTAATATATAATTTAAAAAAAATGCAGATGTGGGGCATGATTCAAATCTGCAAATATATTTTCATTCCCTCGAGATGAAAATGAAACCAGAGGATTCAAGTAAAAATAAAGCATAAATTCAGGGCAGATTATTTAGAGAGTTAATGGTTTGTAGCAATTTAGCAAAACATGCTAAATCACTGGTAGCCTCTGACTGACTATAGGGACACAGAGATGCAGCTGTGTTTTTGTATGCTTTGCATCTTTTGAACAAAAGGCCTCGCCCAACGCCACACCCAAATTTTCTCCAATCCTTCCTCTTCCCAACCACCAACCCTCTCATGTAGATTTGTGCAAATTCACCCATAATATATTCGGTAACTATATCAACAGGGTGAAAACAGCACCTGTCTCATCGAGTGGGCAGCGCTAATCGAGATATATTAAAACATCATGTTATGACAGATGCATGAGTAACCGCAAGTGGCAGGATGTGCATCTTGACAGACATAAGCTTTAAGATTTGCCTCGTGCAGAATGTGAGAGCAGCTCTGAGACCAGCTGATAAACAGGACCAGTGGCAGCTCATCACAACCTGGGCAACTGCAGGCTACTCTCATGTCAGACCCAGTAAATGGAAACCACTCAGGCATTTCACAGTTAAACCAGCCAGCCTCACACATATTACACTTTCAATTTAGTTATATAAACCGGGATGTCTTGGGTACTTTGCGTTGGCTCCCCCCATTTCAAGCGCACTCTCACACAAATGGCAGCAAAACCCAGAAACTTGCACAACGATGCTTTCTCACTCTCTGTGGGGGTGCAGGACGGCATCCTGTTTGTAAACCTAATAAACATTCATTCCTCCAGGCAACTCCTTTATATGCCTTATATCATATACGCTGGTGCCACACATAAGCATGCACTCTCACACCTGGTTGCGAACTCAGCGCCATAAATCAGCCCCAATATAAGATTTGCCTAAGTGGCACCCCTGGGTTTAACAATGACGTGTGCAGTCGCCATATAACACAGCTTTGATCCAAGTCTTTATTATTTCAACATGAGAATACAAACGTGTGACGGCTGACACATAAGATGTGTCAAGAATCAGACACAAAGACAGACACACACGTATATCTCCTTAAACAGATTTGCAGACGCCCCTAGGAGAGTTTAAATGAGGCCCCAATACTGTACTGCTGGAGCACGGCTCTATACTCTGAGACTCTTCTGTCTTTTTTCGAGGATGATGTGATGGTTTTAGATTCAGGTTTTTAAGTTCAAGAGGATGCAGCATATCTCATATTGCAGAATTATGAGCATCGTGTCAACAACAATGCTGGAAACGCATTATAATAGCATTAAAAATACTGTGAGTCCACTTGTGATTCATGCAGCTCTATACTGACCCACACGTTGAACAAAAACCTGCTCTTTCCCAACACCTGAGCTGTTCCTCACTGCCTCAAACTGCTTTTCAATTCACCATATGATTCATGATTATTATGTAATATAAAAAACCTCCGTTATTCAGCCCACACTGTAGATACGATCTGTATTGAGCGTATTGTAGTCTTCCCTACTGTACAGCGAACAATGCCTCTCACGTTTTTCATGGAAAAACTAATTTGCAGATCCCCCCCATCTCGGTGAAAGTGACTTCTGAAAAGGGAACGTGAAGCAAGGCGCAGGCCAGTAATCCTCTTGGCCAAGTGGGGGCCTCCAGTGGGCCGACTTCCACTCCCACCCGCGCCTCCCTCCACTGTCCCCCAGCAGCACCCACAGGCATCCCAATCCAGGAACAGAAAGGGCCATCTGGTGTTTGTTTGGGACAGTTCACAGACAGGATGCACCTTTTGTATGTATGTATGTATGTATGTGTGTGTGTGTGTGTGTGTGTGTGTGTGTGTGTGTGTGTGTGTGTGTGTGTGTGTCAGCAATCACGCCCATATGAAGGTTTGTATGTGTCACTGAGTGTCATCGTTTGAATACGTAGAGTGTTCTTAACCTGGAGGGATGACTAACTGTACCAACTGCACAACAAAGCAAGCACTGGGTGTATTCACACCAAATGGATGACTTCATACCCCGGGGGTGTTTGCTGATGTGTGATACAGGTGTGTCTATGATGTGTGTGTGTGTGTGTGTGTGTGTGTGTGTGTGTGTGTGTGTGTGTGTGTGTGTGTGTGATCTTGGTGTGTATTTAAACATGTGTGTGCGTTAATTACAGACAATATCAGGTCTCCACAAGCAGCACTTCACAGTGTGTTAGGTTAGACTGTGCAGGGTTAATCTGTGACTAAAGTCCAAACAAGACATTAACCTAGTTCAACACACACACACACACACACACACAGCTGTTCATAGGCATCTGTTATTATTGCAGCGATTATCGATGTAGCCTACTTCCACCTGACTCATGATGACTAGTAGTTCCTCTTCCACTCTGAAACCGTCTCAAACACGTGTGTGTGTGTGTGTGTGTGTGTGTGTGTCAGTACATGCAGGTTCCCCCTCGTTAATCGAACAGATCATGAACATCCCAGGCTGACAGCAGCTTCTCTTTCCTCCAGGTCACTTACCCAGCAGCGCACAGGCGAGCAGCAGGAGCGCACCGGTTGCCATTGTGTGATGTTGCCCCGCAGATTCACTTCCAACAGCTATTCCCTTTAGACTGAGGAGGCGGTGTCTGGTCGGGGTTTGATAATGTGGTGTAACCGCTGGTCGTCCTGGATCAGGAAGAGGAGGAAGGTCTGCGAATCCCAGGCGAAGGAAAGCCTGTCCTGAGCCCCAGAGCCGGAGAGACCGGCGGTTTGCCAGCGAGTGTCCGACTCACCTCTCCGTGTCCTCCTGCTGAAGCAAAAAAAAAGCTGAGCAGGAGCTTCCCCCTCTCTCTCTCTCCCTCTCTTTCTCCCTCACCTATCTTGCTTTTCACCGCTGACGACGTGTGCGTACGCCAGGCACCCGGGCGACCCAACCCACTCCGCGTTTACGCATCCACCGAGACTGCGGAGGCGATTCGGTACAAAAGAAAAAAAGAAAAAGTCAAAGAGTGACCTGCGCGTAATCAAGAGATGTTGGGATTTAACGCAGCCTCGTGCACTGAATCTGAAAGTCCCGGTGGTCAGACTGGAGACGAGCCCTCGCTTCCTTCTCTGGTGATGGGAGAGCAGATCGTCAGTCCAGGCAGACTCCAGCTCTCTCCACGGCGAATCCCGGAGACGATCATCAGTCTCCTGCTATCGCTCCGCAGAAAGCCCAGTGGGCGGGCGCTCCAGATGAACAGACAAGCCTTTGTGCGCGCACACAATAAATCTGATTAATCAATGAACACTTTTTAACTCCAACAACACCGACTTCTCACTCAGTCCTCTTGAGCCAATATGTCCTGGTTTAAAGGACTAACATTACGCACACGACTCCAAGAGAAGAGGCCCCCTAAAAAAAAAAAAGAGCTTCCAACACTTGCTGCGTAATTATAATCTGTCAGACGAATGCTTTGAAATTACAGATCCCTTCCAACCTCTCCACTTCCCTGTTTCCTGTCTGGAGAACCACCTCCGTGTGTCCGGTAGTTTGAAAACTTATCAGCGTGCTGCTGCTACACTTCTGCCCCTTCCACCCTCCTATCAGAGGAGGCCACGCCCCGGCCGGCAGTGTGGGACACCGTCCACTGGAGGACAAATCTGCATGTCTGGATTTAAATTCTAGGCCATGTGCCTTGAATGGGTTAAGTGAAGTGGAGGGTAATTAAGGCTTTTCAGCTCACACCAGTTTGTATTTGCAGGGGTGAAGTTGAGCAACCTTGTGTGGTTGGCACAAAATCACATCATCTTGCAAGTGGGTAATTCTTTTTGAGAGTCTTTTTTATTAATGATGTTTACTTGTCGCATGCTGATCACAAAAAAAAGTCTCATTCTCATGCATAATTTACTCAGCAGTCACAGAATATTTCATATCACTCCCAGCTCCTGTTTCCACGCTCACACACACACACACACACACCTCTGGCAGCCGACATAATGAGGTGCCACTCTGTTTGGGAACTGTCACTGACATCAGAACAATGCGTCAAAGTTTAACACTCAGAGGTTGCGAGTTGCAAATTTCACCCCCCTTTGATTCCGATAAGCATCGCTTTGACACGTGCACAGGACTTATTGATTCACCAGACTCTCCTTGCATTATTAGGTGGCTCTCAAAATAGACACAGGGTGAATGGGAGTTTGTTGGGAGACAGAAAATAGCACAGTGAGATAATACTGCTTTGGTGTGAAGCTGCGAAAAGGAGCACTGCATTTGGGAGAGGACAGAAATGTGGAATCCAAAAAAGCTCCTACTTACAGGAACGCGTAGCTCTCTCCTGTGTAATACATGAATAAATAAATGAGCATGCCTTTGCATGTGCACACAAAAAGTAATTGCAATAGACCCATCTGGTATACTTTGTTTTTTTTTTTTTATCGACTGGGAATTTCAAGTTCCGAACACTCTCTGATTGCAACATGAATACTGTTTTTATTTTTGGAAGCAGTAGAAATGATTTTGTTTTCTCTCTTTTGCTGTGTTCATAGATCTCAGTGAAGATAAAAACTTCCTGAACAACGGCTGAAATGAGTCTGGTTCCTGAGGCACCACGAGAGATGTTTACAGAATACTGTTCGTTTATGAACCACAACGTCACATCTGAATAAGAGTTAAGCAAACACTCTAACGGGGACAAATATAAATATATATATATATTTATATGTATAGCCTATGTTTGTCCCTCCTGTCTAAAACTATGTCGTGGTATTAACGGAGGAAGAGAGACAGCTTTTAGAATGTTTATGTAGAAAAAACAAAGGCTTAGCAGACGGTGCTGCCAGAAAAAAAGTAAGCCAGAATGGGATTAGACACTTGTGAAGTATGTGGCCTATTGGCTCAGTTTCTCCAAGTCCAACGCTGCTGAATTAAAACACAGTCGAACAGAGCATGCTAGATAGGCCATGTGCATTACACCTGGTCTACATATTGCTGCACCTAAAATTAGCCCGGCTCTCTGCAGCGTGGCTCTTCATTGCATGGCCGAGTTATGGCAGCGTTCTCACTGGCAGGCAGCTAGAAGGCAGCAATAACATTGTTAGAGCCGAGCATCATGTCAGTACTGTAGATGAGATCACCTTTGACCCCACGGGTCAATTTTGGCACCCGTCCACGGGTACGTTTGCTCTGAGATAAAGCAAAGGCGTCAGAGGAATGAATGCAAGTGCAGTGGATGCTGGGGGATCACAACAGGTCTCCATGGAAACAGAGGAGTCTGCATTGTATGCACTTCATAACAGGGTCCATCTCCGAGATAAATCTTGATTGCCAGAGCCTTCTTCGGAGTGTCCTTCATAACTGTTGAGTGCTGTATGAGACTCGCACGGGGCCGCTCATTCTTTTTTTTTGTGAAGATGTTAATAATTCAGAGCCCCTACAGCGTTATATGTTGAGATGTTGTCAGCTGAGAGAAGCTCCATGTGGAGAAAGATAGAGAATTGTTATTTCATCACACAAACATTTTCATAGTATGACTCAAAAGTATGTGAATGATTTATTGGATTTCTTTTTTCTCCTCTTTTCTCACATTAATATGTCAGAGGGGTGTGTTGAGCCATTTCACATATAAACATTTCCACATGGATGGATACATTAGCACAAATGTGCACATGGAGACTCAAGTGTCAAATTACAGAAGGTTGCATGTGAAAACATGCATTATGTACAACGGAGGCACATGTGCACTCGCTTTGTTGATAAATCCAGGTTTAAAAGGATGATGCTCCAACTACGAGCCCCGTCACATAAATGATGTCTGAAATGATAAATAACTCAACAAAAGTGCTTTGTGTTTGATGGAGTCAAGAAGCAAAGGGAAAGAAACTTTTTGAAACGACTTCTGGCCACATTTATTCTGAGAGACGTCTCTAAGAGGAGTGAGACATAACAGAGACAGAGAGCAAGGAAAAGAGGGACGGGGGAATAATCCAGATGGGTGAAGATGAAGGGAGGATAAACAGAGTGTGTGAGATTTCTTTGTCAAACAGAAGTTATGTAGCAATATGTGGCTTCTCTGAGAGGAACATTAGTACAAGTGAGGTTGTGGGGAAAGAAAGGAGCAGGGTTTTCTATCAGGGAGAAGAACGATTGTGCAAAGCTAAGAGCAGAAATGGGCTTGTTAACAATCAAAACCAACATCAATGCATGTGTGAAATGGCCCCGATCATATATAGTCTTCACTAGAGGGCCCTGAATGCATCGTGACAGACACCAATACAGTATATAAAGCGGTTTTTTTTTTTCGACAGTCAGCAGACTGACAGACAGCAGGCACACGACAACACTCCAGCTGGGACCAACCAGATTCAAGAGTGCCACTCTTCCATATATAAGAGTCAATATGAGCTGAGTCAAAAGAACATAGACAAAGCAGTACAGTCCTATTACTGACACCTCGCTTCACATGGGCTCGGATGATTACACACCACGTCGTCATGTAACCTGTGATTACAAATACAGCTGAGGCTGGTGCAGTCAAAAGAGTCATTTTGCCTTTATGTTATGAAGCCAGCGTCACACACTCTGGGCAGCTTTAAAAAAAATCAAGCTCACTTCTCCGTAATATCACACTTCAGACCGTACACAGTCACAACAACATTCACCGGGCTTTACTTTACAATGCATTAAGCTGCCAGGAGCACAAGTCACTACATTTCCCAGCAGATCAATTATTCATCACAGGAGCTCTTAATGTGGAGTATTAATATGAGATGACTGTCAAGCCACCATATTTTTTTTTCACCTCCTATCTGTCTGCGTCTCCTTCTCCATCCCGCAGCTGTGATGGCCCTTTTCTCTCATTTACTTTTTCCATTTCAGTCCAACATGCAACTCAAGACTTCATGTTGTTTTTTTCATTTTTCTTCCCCACTTGAAAACTCTGATTACCACAACTACTTGATAACACTTGTGCTCACGTGTGTCTGGGTGCATGTTCATTTTTCTACATCCAAGCCTGTATTTTTTTCCCCATTGTTAAGAATTGTGAAAGATGGTACTTTGCATCAATATTCACATGCACATTAAGCATTGAACAAAGACTTTAAGTGAAAAGCACCAGTCAAATCTTTCCCTTCCACCGTTGCAGGTTATCACAACATTAATATATGTTTATCTAAATCTCTTTTATCTTCAAATTACAGCAGAGCTGACGATGAAATGAGATAAAATCACCACATGTAATTTTCAGAATTATTATCCGACAGGTGGTTGCGAGAAACATCCTGAATTAGTTTTATTGCAAATGATTACCCTGGCTGTATGTGGCAATTAAAGAATTTTGAATGAGGAGAACAAATACTTGAACATCTGAGTAACAATAGATTCCCTCAGCCAGCCTGGGGAGGTTAGACTATTGGTATATCATTACACTGTGTAACACCAGGTGTCCATGTGCACACATTGTCAGCAGCAGAGCCACATGAATGCACCCAACACAACACGTCGGCCACAGTTGTGACAATTCCTGGCAGCAGAATAGATTAAAAAACTCTCCTGTGTCTTGACAAAGTACAGCTGTGTACACTGGTTCTTCCTTTTCTTTTTTGGGACCTTAATTCAATATGATTTTTTATAAAAGTTCATGTATTCATCTGGCATTCATCTCGTCTTTCTCTCACTCCTTCTGTCTCATCTTGATTATGTGGGTGTTGCCCAACGTACAAATGCAGCTGATTGCCATCCATTATTCATTCGCAGTTTACTGGACACGCACACGCATGCATGCACGAACATGCACACACACACAAACACACACACATACACACATTGTATTCTCAGGGAATGAAAGCAAGGGCATCAAGATGCGCTCCTGTGAAAAATGTTCGACTTTATGCCCCAAAACACCAACCACATAACACAACACACACAGACACACAGACAGACACACACACAGACACACACACACGCACACACACACACACACACACACACACACACACATTTCATCATCTTCCCTGGCAGGTACAGGCTTGTCCTTTTTGCTGTTAGGTAACAACAACAAAGCAGATGGTATCTATCAACTCCAGGCTGTAAAACAACATTTGCGTTTTCATGGTCACACTTAAGAGGAGCTTCTGCTTTGTGTATGCAGAACAAGGTAACTCGCTCTGACCACACACCCATGTTAATCTGATATGACTCATGGCTGGAAGAGAAGGAACGTGGGCAAAAAAATGACTGAATCATGGCATTATCCAAACTGCTATCACAAAACGTGTCCAAAACAGTACTGTATTCACCTATTTGTTTTATTTCTAGGAAAAAGTTCATGACATAGTTGAAGCAGTTTTGAATAAACAGAGGAATATTGTGTTTTTTTGCACATAACTAATTCATTGTACCGAGGTGACGTCTGGATAAACCACAGGGTGGTTGTGTGTGTAATTGCAGCCATTTATTGGATTTCTGGGTCAGGATCAGGAACATGGCTGCTCGTCCCTCTTCAAACCAACCCAACATGAGTCATGCAACCTGGTTTCCCTGCTCCTGA